GATACAGCATCTCGTGCTCATCACGAGCGATATTTAAGGAGCTGGAACTCCTTATACAGACTCTAGCATAGGATCGGGAACGTTGGAAGCTCTGTCTGACGCGTTTGCCTCCGCGACCCTAAAGGAGAAGTGGCGATGGAAGATGAAGAACTCCTTATACGCTACCGTATAAAGATCATAATCTGTTCGTACGCTGGAATTTACCAAATAATGCAGGAATCCTCCAAGATCAGATTTCACGGCGTATTGCACTGACCCTTTGCTCTCATTGCACAACCTATATATTAGTTTATATTTGGGAAAAAACTAACGAATGCGTTTAATAACAGAAATAAACCATTTTTATTAGTCGTATCACAATCGCCGCTTGGTCCTGAAACTTGAGACTTTGAGTATCGTCATTTAATGAACGAAGGAAGCGTTGATGATACAACTGCAAGCGCAAGCTCGAAATTTGTCATATGCATACAAACGTGAAACAAGCATCGCGCCTGAGCATGAACAATGGAAGTTCAGTTAAACTGCACCACCAAATCCTCGATATGTTTCACCTGGATAGCGTTAAACGCGCATTCCACATCCTGCGACAGTTGTCGAATGTACGCCACATCGCCTGGCTCAACTACGGGTGCCAAAAGCAGCTTTTCGACCTGCTGACCACTGTCCATCAGCAACGACGCATTGTTTGGTCGGAAGGATGAAGGTACTGTGATCTGCGACAACAGAACGTTGTACTTGCGGGCCCGTTCCATGTATTCTCGGGGTTCCAGGGTCTGAGACTCCAGGGCAGCTACGTCAATCACATCGTTCGCCGTTTTCTGCAAAATCCTGCGCAAAATGGCTTGCTCATCCTCACCTGCGGAGTTGTTCGCCGCAGAATTCGTCTCACCTGAATGAGAGAGGGCCCTAAACGAAAGGAGCAGCGTTAAAACGCGACAGAATGTTACATGTTGAAAAGACGCTTGATAACTTACCCTGGCGCCTGTCTTGTTGAAGGAGTACTACCCGTTCGAATCAAAGAAGTCTGGTCATCTTCTGAATTTGTGTCTGAACCGGGACAACAACACTGGACTATAACCTTAAACATCGAACTTGCGCAATAAGTGTTCAGCACGCACTGCATTATACAGTGCGACGTGACAACAGTTGCAAAGATCATCAAGTTGATTTGCTCGTACCTTAACTAAGAAATGTTCATTATAGTAATATTAATTCGAATAGGTTAATATTGCACAAGGCGCAGCAACTTTGTCTTAGAGCAAACGCTTCAGCAAATTTCACTAGCCTTTATCAGCTGAAAAAATAATATTTAATGCGTTTTTTGCAGTGATTAAGGCTGGTGACATCAACCAAAAAGTCGCCTGTCTCACAGGAAGTGAGACGCATGGCTTGTAGAGAAGATTATAACGGCTGTAACTCAGCCAGTGCAGCATGCGAATAACTGTTTAATACGATAAAAATCAAGATAAGTTGTGTCTACAGAAAGAAACTGGCAAAGTGATACATAGTCGAAGAAGCTACAATGGAATAAAGTAAACGCATGAGAAACGAACTGGAGCGGAGTTACTCGATCAGTTCATCATGGCTTTCCCTGACACTTGTTAAATTCTTAATAAATGCTTACACTTAACAACTTATACCTATCTTTCGATGCAAACTCATCACCACACTTGCTACCTTGCCATGACACTAACAGAATTCCAGATGTTCCAAACGGCCCTTGCAGAAAAAGTTACCTCATCGAAAGCTGCGTAGCAGATGGTAGGAGGCAACTACATTCTATTGATTCATGGCTGATCAGTCCCATATGCCCCTATAAAGTGATTTGTCCGAAATTATGGAGTGCGCGACCACTTATGAACAGGCAGTAGAATTCGGAAAGATCTGACATTATCAGCTGGTAAACTACTTATGAGGTGAACAATTTTCAAAAGCTGCCCAGTGTGAATAACAAGCCCTATTTGGCATCGGCAACTCATCAACTCGCAGCAAAACGATCAACGAAAAGATTGAAAAGTGCTGAAAAGTAGAAATGTTCAGGTGATCAACGCAGTCTACGCTACACCCTAATCAGCAAAGTATATCCGATTAACACCTTTAAATACCACATCCGATTGCCTTCGCTCCCAAGCTGCACAACTATTGCATTATCGTACAAACATTATCAAGTCAAATGACAAAAGATACCCCTATCACTGTAAACAGCAACGGTCGTCATCTAAATTCAGTCAATATCTCTTTACTTAGATAAATCCAAAGTGCTTCATCACCCTGAAACGCAGCACCATTGAAAATTCTTCATATTAAAACAGTGATATCGGATTGAATCGGTGAAAATGCAGAGTATAAAGCAAGAGAAATCTATTTCTCACTTTACACCAGTAGCTGTATTGCACCGCCTCCTTTGCTTTGAGATTCCCAGGAGAACGATTTAAGCAGGCCACCTATACGGTAGGTACTTAAGCGTCTGAATTGCGTAGCACACAGGACCGCGTCTCAAGCTTGGGTTGAAAAAATATATTCAACCAAAGGATATAACCTCGATGTCATTGTGAAGCTTTTGAAACTACCGCTGAATATATCGCATCACAAATATCATCTTCATCTTCATCTTCCATCGCCGCTTCTCCTTTCGGGTCGCGGAGGCAGACGCGTCAGACA